GCCTCTTCCCAGATTCCATCAACGGCAGTTGGCCAGGTCATCTCTGAGTCGAGGCCTGCAGTCATCGCGTGGCATCACGACTACTCCTGTTTGAGCTATCTCGGAAGCTGGTTGGAAGAATGGAATGAGCAAGGTGGTTTCGCAGCAGGCTATGGGGATGATTCCGTTGCGGATTCCATCGGACTTCTTGCCGACCTCATGGTAGCTGCTAAGGATGCGCAGGCACAGAATGGAGATAGGTCTGGCGCCAAGCGAATCCTAGAACTGGCGAGTGACGGTCTTTCTCACCAGGGCGATATCATATCCTTGATATTTGAGATTTTCGAAAGGAACCTTCCACTTGTTGGCTCAAGAACAGGCTTGGATACTGTACTTGAGAGCACGATTGCCTGTTTACGGTTCATTCATGCCCTGTTAGAGGTTCTCCCAGGCAGAGTCTGGCCATTCCTCTCCCGTAGTGGCTTACTGGGCACCGACGGAAAAGGTGGCGTTATGACGACCATCATATCTGCTGCGGAGGTAACAACGGGAAACTACCCTTTCCTGTTGGGCTGTGTACGGTTGTTTGATGCTGTTGTCGACGATGCAGCCTCTCGCGCCGTCTTGAGACGGAATCCCAATGGCGTCAATGGAAAGACAATGAATGCTGCAGACTGGACCGCGGGCGTTCCTTCACATATGATGCGCGGCATTCTACTTAACTTTGTGCGGACAATGGTCGACGCCTACAACAGTAATGGAAACTGGAGATTCAATGCGATCGAGCAAAGGTTTGCGGTAAACACCTCGCTTGCCAGGACATTCGAACGTATCCTCTATTACGCATACGGAACAAACGAGGATGAAAAACTGGACTTGAAGGCTACTGGTGTCTTCTCATCCTCCGCAACATTCTTGCTGGAGGTGATGCGTCCTGAGGCGACTGCTGAGCTGCCGTTCAACTGCATTCTACGCCTGATTCTCGATGGGTTACAGGCTCCTTCTACTCTACACCTTCGTTACTTGGCGCTCATTCAGAAGCAGGTGCTAGCGACATTAGATCTTTCCCTCAGGCTGTTGCAGGCAGCACGGTGCCTGAATCTTACCCCATCGCTTCTCGAAGAGCAGCTTTTCAAGGCTACCCCTGCTCTGGTGAAGTTGTATGCTTTGGATGACACCTATCGTTTCCCGATCATCTCAATCTTAGAAATTCTCATATCGGGCGCCGCTTCGGATCCCGCGAAGGAACCACCATCCCTGGTCGGTCACCTTGGTCCCGAGTCAGCCTGCCTCTTTCTCGACATTATATCCCAATTCGATAAACCTCTCAATGACCAGCGCCTCCAATTGGCTATCTGGCAATTCCTGTCCACCATCATAAGCAAGCGTCAACCATGGCTTGCTGTTTACATACTAACGGGGACGTCGCCGCGCCAATCGCTGAAGAAGGATGACAAGCAGAAGGAGGTTGCTATGAGAGGAGCTCCTTTCTTGCAGATCGCTCTTGACACTCTTGCGAGGATAGAGCAGACTGACCTTCAATTAGCACTCTCGCTACTGGCCTTTGTTTCGCATGCGCAGGAGAATTGGCCATGGGCGACACCCGAGCTCAAGAAACACCCACAATTCTTCACCAGTATTGTCAACTATGTCTCGAAGCTGAAGATCTCGTCTCTGTCAGCGACCGACCAGGTGTTCGCTACTCGGATAGCGGCCGTGGTCGCGGATCTCTGCGGCGTCTATCTGCATGCAGCGAAGGACATGCAGGATAAGGGCTTCTACAAGACCATGATTCCCCTTGTATCTTGGTTCTCCAAAGATGCGGTGGACGTATCTGCGTACAACGCCTCGCTACATGCGAATCTCAAGAAGAACTTCGAAATGAGATACCCTGGGTGCAAACTCGCTGACTTCAAGAGGTCCCCGCTGCAAACCCGATCTCTGGGACCGGCTTACTTCTATGACGTTGAATTAGGCCAGAAGCTTCTCTCATACGACTTTGCCTGGACAGGGACTCGGAACCAAGGGTTTGCCGAGGAGTTCCAGCGCGCCAACCTCAACTTGTCACTGGTTGAGGCGCAAGTGGTTTGTGCTCCTCTAATTTCATGAAGGAAGAAAGTTTGCTAACCGGAAATCTTTGCAGAGTCTTCTCTACAGCTGGAAGTTCTTTGCCATCGAGCATTGCGAGGACTTCATGGCGGATCGCGAAGTGCAGAAGTCGATGGCCCTGGTCGTACAGAGCTGCCTGGAAGCCAACACGAGAGGCGTTCCTCAGGAGGCTATCTTTGAACGCATACAGCAAACCCGAGCGGAGTTTGCCCAGGCCCTGCTTCAACGCCTGGTTACCGTTGGCGCCAAGGGAGCCGAGGTGTTCGGTCTTCTCAAGGTCGTATGGGATGCATTGCGATCTCGCCGTACTTCTTACGAAGAAGCTATCATCAATGACGACACGGAGTATTACCGCTTATTGTTGAACGTCCTCTTCCTTGCACTGCAGTTCCACCTCGATACCCCTGCTCGGGCCGCACCGGAAACTTTGACCAAGAAGGCGGAAGTCTCCTCTGACCTGGGAGTCGTGGTTGAAGTTGTCAAGGTTGTTGTTGCGCAAGGCTTCAAGTCCTTAGTGACTTACCTCCACGAGCAACCCGAAAAATGTACGCCCAAGGACTTTGCGCTCCTCACCGCGATTTTGCAGAGTGCCTTGCAGGTGAAGAACGTCGATCGCTTGTTCGAACACATCGTCTACCACATTGCCGATAACGACACAGCACGACTTGCAACATCGTTGTTCTCATGGGCTGATCAGCGGACTGTGGCTGGCGACCCTGTGTACGGCGAGCTGAGCATGTCCTTGCTGGTCAAGCTGTCCACTATCCCCATGCTAGCTGAGCATCTAGCCGTTGAGACGGTCCTCGCACGGATCTCCACGAGCCGACTCTCGACCTTCATGCGCCAGAGCAAGGGATTCGGCCCATTCGACCCAGTGCCCCGACTCTATTCCATCTGGACCGGTGGCATCCTTCCCCTGTGCCTGAACCTCCTCTACCATGTGATGCGCACGGCGCCGGAAGTGGCCGGGTTCCTCAACCAGTTCGAAGGCCAATTGACCCGCTCGGCCGAATCGTTCGCCGCAACCCGCGCGGTCAGCGCTTCTGGGGTCGCTTCCACCCGGCGACTCACTCTCAGCATGGTCTCGGAAGGGTACTCCCTCGCGCTGATCTCGTTCATCCTGACCCGGTTCCGTCAAGCCGGCGCCAGCATCGGCGTGGACGCCCAGGCGATCCAGGAACTGAAATGGGACAAGGCACAGGTCAAGGAGGACATCGAGGAGCTGCTCGAGCGCAAGCAGAGCCTCCGAGCGCGGATCGTGGCCACCAGTGACAAGGAGCTGGAGCTGGCGCGTCAGAAACCGGTCGATGCCGCCTCGGGGGCCGAGAACCGGCTGGAGGAGAAGATCACGAGTGAGCTGAAGGCAACATTGGTATGCCTTGGTGGGGATGAGGCGTGAGCTTCTTTTCCCTGAAGAATGGCGTTTGTTTAGAATTCCAAACCAGACAAAGATTTTTTTGCTCCCTTCTGTGAGGACTGTTCTATATGTCGTACTTATGACCTTTTATTATTTTCCATCTGGTGAAGCGAATTCAAGGGGATACATTTTTGTTTAGGAAGAAATCCATTGCATAGGGGGTCTGCTATTGTCTTTCCAGGTAGTATTCGGATCAAATATGTACAGTACTGTACTGTGGCTAGGTTGTAGTTTACTTGTTGTATGAGTAGTATGCACAGAGGCAAGTACTGTACAGTATGCAACCTCGTCTCCCTCCCAAACCACCCACCCACTCTACCCAGACTCAATCATGCAAACATGAATGAATGTTTGCTTTCCCTGGGTCCCACTGTGCCAGATAGTGGCACTCTGTACGGATTAGGGAGCAAGCAGTCCAGTCCATGATTGATTGTCTCCGTCTGATGCCGATCCCCCGCAACCACTCCTCATCCCCTCCCATCAAATCAATCAATGAAGAAACAACCACGCCATCCATCCACCCAACCCCCAAAAAGAAGAACCTCGGACCTCTCCAAACCAAGCAAGCTAACCGAGCACCCGAGCCAGAATGCGGGGAGTGTGTGTGTGTGTGTGCGCGCGCGCGTGTGTGTCAACACCACCTAGACCACCTACGGAGTACCTACCCAGTAAAAGAGAGAGCAGAGCGAAAGCGACAGGGAAAGCGGAAAAGCCGAGCCGACATGCACACTGCACGAGTTGGAACTATCCAATCAATCCATCCGCAGCAACTGCCTCTTTCCCGCAAACCCCGGGATTTAACCTATTATCCAGGTATCCAATCAGCCAGGGACTAAGCTGGGTTGATCCCGGTGTGATGGGTTTTACGAGGGGGGGGGGGTTGCGTGTCGGCGTGTCGGCGTGTCGATTGGGGCCGGGAAAACCCCTGCTCACTGCTACTGCCGGTTTCCATTGGAGAAAGGATTGGATTCGTTCCGGGGGAAGTGTGCAGTGATCTATCTTATACATACTCACCGCTGCATAAGGACGGACGTCGTCCCCCCCGCTAGCTGGTTGTGCTCGTATAGTAGGGCTTTGACTGAGCCGGTATGCGTGAACAACCAGAATAATGGGTGAGGGGGGGAGGAGAGCGGAGAGAACGACCAGCGGATCATAACGTTACTATGCATGGCCATGGCATGGCACGCATGCACGATAGATGGATGGATGATGGATGCATGGGCCGCCGCCGCCCGCGGTGTTGGGCCGCGCCTGTGCTTCCCTCTCCTCTCCCCTCTTCCCTCTCTTCCCTTCGGCGTGGACATTTGGACTAGACTGGCGGATTGATTGATTGATTGACGGCTTGACTGATCAAAACTGGAAATTGACTTGGTTTGGATGATAGACTGCACTGGACTGGGCTGGACTGAGTAGATTGGCATATTTATATCTTTCCATAGTATCCCATCCATCTCTTTTGCATGACTCGTGGTTCTCTTTATTATTTGTGGATGTGAGGTTCCTTGAGTGCAAGCACTGTACTGTTCATCTGCGACTGCTCTATCCAGCGGTCTTGACTACGTACGATATTCTATAAAGCTTTTGTTGGATACATTACACCGATATACCCCCAGACCCCAGCAAGCATCTTATCCTATCCTATCAATTGTATGCCAGCCAGCCAGCCAGCCAGCCACTGGGATGCAATAACTTCCACCACCCTCTTCTTCTCAACCTCACTGCCCACTGCACCTTTTACCTCAACAAAAATGCCCTTCCAATCCCGCTGGTCCATCGACATTCCCAGCTGCCACCTCGCCACCCTCCTCTTCACCTCCCCAACCAACCCGCTCTCCCACACCCATCGATGTTTCCTCGACGCCGCCCGCCCGGACACCCACTACTTCACGGAGCACTCGTTCCGCCTCTGGAGCCAACGGCTCGCCGCGGGGCTCCGACACGCCGGACTGCGGCGCGGGGACCGCGTGCTCCTGTTCTCGGGGAACGACCTGTTCTTCCCCGTCGTGTTTATGGGGATCATCATGGCGGGTGGGATCTTCACGGGGGCGAACCCCACCTTCGTGGCGCGGGAGCTGGAGTATCAGCTGCGGGACTCCGGGGCGACGTTTTTGATCTGTGCGCGGGGGAGTCTGGAAACCGGGCTGGAAGCTGCCCGGGGAGCGGGGTTGGGGTTGGATCGGGTGTTTGTGTTTGACAGTGCGGTTTTTGAGGAAGGTGATAATCTGCAGAGCAAGCTGGACGAGAGGCAGGGTAGTCGCTACTGGGGCGAGTTGATCGCCTCCGTCGAGGAAGGGAGTCGGTGGGCGTGGGACGATCTGATGACCCCCGGCGCGGCGGATGCGCAGACGCTGGCGCTGAATTACTCGAGCGGCACGACCGGTCGACCTAAGGGAGTCGAGATCACGCACAAAAACTACGTCGCCAATCTGCTGCAGTATAACTTCCTCTTCTACCTGTACCCGGACTGGGTGCAGCGGCTGGCGCGCGCGCGCTGGCTCTGTTTCCTCCCCATGTACCATGCCATGGCGCAGAATATCTTCATCGCCGCGGCGCTGCGGCGCGGCGTGCCCGTCTACATCATGCCCAAGTTCGATATGCTAAAAATGCTCGAGTACACGGAGAAATTCCGGATCACGGACCTCATCCTCGTGCCCCCGGTGGTCGTGGCGTTGGCGAAGCACCCGGCCGTCCGCAGCGGTAGGTATAATCTGAGTAGCGTCGAGGGGGTCGCCAGTGGTGCGGCGCCCTTGGGCGCGGAGGTCTGCGAGCAGGTTGAGAAGCTCTGGGAGCCGGGCCGAATCACGGTCCGTCAAGGTTGGGGAATGACCGAGTGAGTTCTAGTCTTGCTGTGCTGGATGAGCAGGGCAAACGTGTGGCGAACGACCACCAGCTAACAGACACCCCTGTCGGGCTCGCCGTTAGGACGACATGTTCACTGTTGGGCTGGGACCCCACGACGAAGACACACCCAGCATCGGTAGGTGAGCTGAATGCGAACTGTGAAGCCAAGATCATGGCCGACGATGACCGGACGGAGCTGGGACCGAATCAGCGGGGTGAGCTGTGGGTTCGTGGGCAGAATATCATGAAAGGCTACTGGAGGAATCCGGCAGCAACCAAAGAAACCAAGACAGGAGACGGATGGTTGAAGACAGGCGATATTGCCTTCGTGGACGATCAAGGTCTGTTCCATGTGGTGGACCGGAAAAAGGTATGCTAGTGAGACAGACGGTCTTCCTGCTCGCCACCTGCGGCGGATCACGAACGGACACGCCGGTCCTGCATGTCTTGTTGCCTCTCTCTATCTGCGATGCTAACAGCCACTCCTGCGTTAGGAACTGATCAAAGTCAAGGGAAACCAAGTCGCGCCAGCTGAGCTAGAGGCGATATTGTTGGACCATCCTGCAGTGGCCGATGCTGCCGTCATTGGTGTACCAATGTATGTGGTTGAGAGGCGACCTTTTGACAGCAAGATCAAAAAGGCGAATTGCTTACACAACTTCTCAAATAGGAATGACGATGAGCGCCCTCGAGCATATATCGTGCTGAACTCCGGACAGAACGCCACCGACAGAGACATCTTGTCATTCATGGACGACAAGGTTTCGCCGTTCAAAAGAATCACCGGAGGAGTGGTGTTCATCGACGCCATCCCCAAGAATCCATCAGGGAAGATCCTGCGAAAGATGCTTCGTGAGCGTGCCGATGGAGAGATGCAGCCGACTGCAAGACTATAGATTTCTCTCTTCATTGTCCTTGTATCTGTCCTGTTCTTGCTTCTCCTATAAACACAGTAGAAAGCCTGTTTTCCACGCCCAATCATTAGCCAGAGAAGCTATTGGAGAATACAGAGATCTCCAATAATGGTTTCGTCTCATCTGTCCGGGGATATGGAACGCCTTCGTGGCTATACGGTAACGTAATCACTGATTCGTGACCCAATTATTTTGCGCTGTAGTAGGCAGCTAGATTTAGGCTTGCTCGCGAGCGGCAAGATGTAAGCTGGTATAAGATCAGTTGGGAAGGCGAGCATTGAATTGTCTAAGTGAGCAAGGGTATTGTGGCCCAAGTAGCAAAAAAGAAAAAAAAAAAAAAAAGATAAAGCGAGAGCACCAGTCAAGGCTACCCAGTTGAAAGGAACAACCGATCGATCGACAGAATGCATCTGAATGAGTGCGCCTGCCATTGGCTGTAGCTGGTGAGCTTATACCCGACAGCAGGAACTAGACATCACCTAGATCTGGCATGGAAGACGTGCCTGCAGTGCCTGCAGAAGCAGGCTGACCCATTCACCGCCACATTGGGGCGGCGCGGGAGCCTCACACTTACCACCACAAACACAATTGTCGGTGCATATATCCACATCGATTGATTGTGATTATTGTAATTAATTAATAGTCGGACAAGTTCCTCGTGGATGGGGAAATGGCGAGCTGAGGACTAGTCCAGAGTGCAAAGAGTCTCGACCTCCACTGGGTTCCATGCACCCTTGATCGCAATTTATTAGCCTAAGACCTAGAACTGGATCTGCGCCAACAGTCGATCTGTAGTCAAGGCGCAGCTGAGATGCACGGCAACACAACACAATGAAAGGACCCTTAAATGACCAGCCATGTAAAGGCAGGAAAGGCGAGCAAAGAGGCGATAAGAAGATCACGAGACACGGCTTCATGGATCCAAAGTAGTCGACTGGTCGTAACTTTGCCGGGTCCTTCGCGGCGCCATTGACAGGGGTAATTCGAATCGAACAGTCTCAACCATCATGTTGGGTTCGTTCGCTTGGCTCGATTTTTCGCAAGTTCCCCGCCTCCGAGACTCTGCTAGAGAATCGAGGCACGAATCGAGGCTCACACGGTCCAGGACTCCAGGTAGCCTTATGGCGTTCTGACTGGGCCGCTTTCTCCCTTTAAGAATTAGCGGGTCTCCTAGCCGATGGCACAGAGTGGTGGCGCTTCCGCTGGGCAGCTGAACCTGCCTTGCTTCAGGACCTTCATCCCGACCTGTCTAGCTCCCTTGGTCCTATGATCGGGGTGCATCTATAGTTGGAGGTCATTCTCGTCGGTTGCGATCGGTTCGTAAGCTCTCGTGGCTGATGATGGCACAGCTGGACTGGGAGGGGCTAACCTCCCCCCTCTGTCATAGCCCACTCGAATAGTGCGCGTTAGTGAAGTAGACTGTCATTTCCATCAGATCTGTCTCTAGTCTTTCTGTAGTGGAGTCCGCATATCTCCGTGGACATATAATTAAAAAAGGCGTGTTTCGTGCCATGCATGGGTTGCCCTAAGGCCGGATGTTATTGCTTTTGTTACCGTCTATATTGGTTGCGCCATGGTCCGGTCTCATTTATAAAGACCGTCCGATATCTGCGAGAATCAAGATAATCCAAGCATATCGCACTTTTGATCGTTTACCTTTTCTCCTGGTGCATCTGGATGCGACGCTTTTGCTTAGCCCGTCCTTATATGTCTCCCTGCAGTGGCCCATCAGAATTGTAAAGAAGCGACTACTTCGACCAAAGAAACCAACGTGGTACAGTACTTCACCCATTCCTTGTGCTCCGTGGCCTTCCAAATGGTAATTTGATCCAAATACTTACTGGGTGTGTAGTTCATTTTGCCCACAGCCTAACGAGCAGCTGGGATCCCATTGGCTACCACAGGGAACTATAAACCCTAAGCCTCCTTGCAATGAGGTGCACGAATTTGAAGACGGCGATTCCGAAGAATATCCAGATAGCGTCGCTCGGAATCATCTATTTTGCTGCTTGCATAGTTTGCGCCCTAGTCCTTCTTCAGCGTATCCGGCGTCGACGGCTCAGGTACGCATCAGCAGAGAGGCAAATGGATCCGCTATCATCTTCGCTAGAGAAAGGAGGTGGCGACGGACCAAGCAGTCCAGTGGGCCAAGGCTACGGCGTTGCCTACCTGCAATATCCAATCTCCCACCACGCTAGCTCATTCCCTTCAGCTTGCGACGTTCTGCAGCCCTTGTCGCACTTGTCTCAATTGCCATCAAGTGGTTATTTGGCGGCGGTCTTAACTCGAGAGCGGAGCTCGTGGACGCCGCAACACTCGTATTCCGGCGATGAGCTTGCTCTACCAGCCCCCGGGAACGCCGATATGAACGGAATTTTCAATTCCTCCACCTGTCAAAATGATCTCGGTGGCTTGTCTTCGGAGCGGTTGAATGGTGGCAGCATGGCCCCGAACGCTCCACCACGGACGGGTTCATCCCCGGTTGGGTGGCGTACCGAAAGCCACAGCCAGGAACCGCCGCTCAATGTTGCGGAGTCTAGCGGAACTCAACCGACGCGGAAATCCGAGCACGCAGTCCAATACATGCGCGATGCAGACGAGGAGGGAGTGCGGACCTGGAAACGGGTGGTGGTGGAGTACAGTTGATTTCTTGATAATGTGTGTGGTCTCTGTCGCCTACTTGCCTGGATTTGCTTCTGAGGGGCCTTCTCCTTCTTCTTCGTTATGCTTCGGTTATTCTTCATTTCGAGATGGATACTATTCTCATCAGGGACCAGTTTCAAGCGCATGCCAGAAAGGCAAGCTCGAGGATTGGGTGGCATCTTTTAGTTCTTGATTTGTCAAAGGAGTTTTTAGTTTGTGGTTGATGATGATTGATGACTGAATGATAATCGGAAGTGTTTGTCAGAGATGGAAAGAGACTATCCGGGTCAGTAGAAGAAAAGGTGATAATAGCGATGAGAGACCAGCTGCTCCTGCAGTAGAAGCACTTGTGGCACGCTGTCCCATCTCTTCTGGCAGATCTGGAGCTGTACAACATAGAGATTCGCAGTTGAGTCGCTTACAGACCCATCGAAGTATAGCTCTTGAGAGCCGCCTTGACCTCGCAGAAAGAGCAACGATGGAGACTCAGGGCGTCGTTAGCCAAGTGCAGTGTCTTCTTGATGATGAAGTGAAGGATCTAGTACGTACAGTACTTTCCTACCTTCCAATGCCCTTGGATATACTACACATCCTAAACTGGACTAGTGTGGCTCACATGGCAGGATAGCTCTCCCCCTGCTGAGTCATCTAAGCTCTCCGCCGCACCGCGAGATGGAAGATCCGTCGGGCATCCAAGCTCACTCACTCCCTGATTTCCAGATTCCAGCAGAGCCATCGGATCAAAAAAGCGCGAGGAACTGGCCAAGATGACAATCACGACCTACGATACCTCCCCGGATTCCTCCGATCTCGCCGCCCTAAATCTGTCGCGCCTGTTGGCACGGTTAGAATACAATCTGCTCTCTTCCGCGGCGGACTTGAGGCCACTCCGACAATCAGACTACCAGCGCAAGAGAGTAGGAGCGGTATGTGCATCCCACTGAACTTGTCTACCAGATCAGAACATCTTCCCATCTCATATGCACTGTTCGGAACTTTGTGAGGACGATCGAATGCGCAACGACTCAAGTCCGCATCCGGTTCACAATGTCCCCCTCCTCTCCGCTTGTCTCCACGGCCGAACATCATCACTGACCTGAGCAACCCCACTCCCCAGAACATAGACTACGCCCGCACTACCCTCCAGAGCCTCGAACGCAGCCTCCCCCAGATCAAGCCTCCCGATCACCGACAAACCCTCCAGACCAACCTCGCACAGCAACGCCTTGTCCTCAACCGCCTCCAGGACTTTCTAGACCAACTCACCGCCGAAGCGGAGACAAGCCGGGGTAGGAAGCAGCAACAAGACGCCGCAGCGGCATTCAGCACTAGCACCCCCGCATCAACCCCCCACGCAGAAACCGAAGAAGACTCGGACTCGGATTCCGAACCCCTCGACGGGGAAGACCTCCTTGGAACTCCGGAAGATGGCAGCACCACCGACGAAGTCGTCGACGAGGACCGGGGCAATGACACCGTCGAAAACCAGCAACCACAGGCAGAACCACAGCCACTAACCCTCTCCTCCGCGCTCCCCACACCGACTGCCACAGAGACAGACTCCCCATTACCACCAACGACCACACCAGCACCAGCAACGACAACGACAACGACAACAACAACAACAACAACCCCACCCTCACAACCCTCCGCAACCCTCCGCAACCGCACCATCGCCACCACCGCCCCTCAATCCTCCTCAACCTCCTCAACCCTAACAGCAACCGGCACCTCACTACACCCAGCCCACCCATCATCATCATCCTCACCAACAAACCCCAACCCCACAAAAACAACAACAGAAGAAACCCTCGTCTCGCACCGCGCGGAACAAGAAGACCTAACGACCTCGCTCCTCTCGCTCGCCTCGCAGCTCAAATCCTCCTCGCAGGCCTTCCACGCCTCGCTGGACGCCGAGAAATCCGTGCTGGCGCGCGCGGTCGACGGGCTCGACCGCACGACGACCAGCATGGAGTCCGCGGAGCGGCGCATGGGCACGCTGCGCCGGATGTCCGAGGGGAAAGGCTGGTGGGGGCGCATGATGCTGTACGCCTGGATCTTCGGGCTGTGGATCGTGGCGATTCTGATCGTGTATGTGGGGCCCAAGTTGAGGTTCTAGGATAGTTGTCTTCTCGCTAGCGTGGATTTGTTTTGTATGCATTAGCTGGGATATGGAATTTTTTTTTCGCTTACGTTCCGAACTCGATCTGTGCCCTAGCTTCTAGATGAGAATAAAAAAGATCTTGCTCCGATGCTCCTAGCTAGCATGGCTTGAATCAGTCCAAGTGCCGAAAGTCGATAGCAACTAGATACGATGATACGTGCACATGCACATCCTGACTGATTCAACTCGCATGTATTGTAAGGTGTCCTACACTACACCTAGTGCACCAGCAGAGCCTGGACTTCCGATAGCCCTGGTTGCAAACGGCACCGACATGACAAATGAACAACCCCGCCCCCCCGCGTCGGCAAACACATATGTAGCCTGCATACCGCATACCAACGTTCATCCTCACATACTACTAGCCCTTAAGACATTGGTTTCCCCAGACCAGATGAACAGCGTGATCTATGATTACACACAACGAGGTGGACCAGTTGCACCAAGACGTGATGGAATATCCAGCTTCAGATCAAGACACATGAAATTAAGAAACGGAATGAGAGTCCAGGGTAGCAGCGGTGAGATGAGATAGGAACGAACCAGAAATAGAAAACATGGGAATCCTATGGATCGATCAAAAACAAGGGAATAAAATGTAGAGAGAAGTCAAACATGGACATAAGACACAGAATTCTAACAGCTTTGTAGAATCGATACAATCCACAGGAATCCTGCTGCTTCACAGTGAAGAGTTAAAAGGGGGAGGAGGCGGGAGGGAATAGATAGAGAAACAACTCCTGCTCTGTGTCATGGGATGGATATCGGTGATGCTGATAACAAAGAGCCGGCTAGATATCATTTCAGGACAAAGGAAAATAGAAACAGAAATTAGTAGTAATGGACAAGTGAATGTCTCAACGCCGGAATCTTTCGGGAGGGGTAAAAAACTGCAACATGGTATGACAAAGAGCAAAAAAGCACAGAATTACAAGTCACATAGCATACGGTCTAGATGCGAGTCCACTCTGCTCGATCAAGATAAACCGGTCATTAGATCAGACCACACAGTCTCAGGTTTTCTTGGATTATGATGTCTGGATAACAGTCAGCGTCTGGCCCTGCGTTGAACTTTCAGAGATGATGTGGGCTTACCATTTACTGCAGCCATGACGAAGCGAATCTGAGTGGTATCCGTAGCACACGTGAAGTGAGTGTAGATCTGCTTCTGCTCGGCCTGGTTCAATGAAACGAAGCGGTTGAGGATGTAGTCGCATGCGGCGGCGTAGTCTGCGCCTCCCTCGTAGTCGGGGAAGTAGTTCTTCATGGGGCTGACGGGCAGCTTCTCCTTGAAACGATCGATCTTGTTGAGGAAAAGAATGATAGAAGTCTTGACGAACCACCGCGAGTTGCAGATCGAGTCGAACAGAGTGAGCGCTTCTTGCATGCGGTTGACGGTCTCATCCTCGAACAACAGCTGGTCGTACTCGGAGATGGCAACCAGGAAAAGGATTGTCGTAACATTCTCAAAGCAGTGGATCCACTTCTTACGTTCGGACCGCTGACCACCAACGTCGAACATGCGATACGTGAGATCGCCGATGATGAACGTCGTCTCGGTAATACCGGTGGTCTTGACACGAGAGCGGAGGACATCCTGATCGGTGGGGAGGTAATCGGGCTGGGCGATGCGATCGATGGCATCGAAGTAGCTGTTCATTATGGTCAACAACTATTTAGCGGATTGAAAGCGACCGTGGTGAAAACTCACTATTTGGCGGAGTCGTTCAATTGGTATTCGCGGGACCTCTTGAAGCACTCCTGAACACCGGTGTCGCGCCACAGAGCGCCGATGGCGTTGCCAACCTCCGGAGGCAGGTTGTCACCCTCGATCTGAGCAGGCTGCATGAAGACGGTCTGCACGTGGTACTCGTTACGAGCATCCTCCAGAGGAAGCTCAAGGGATTCCATGGCCTCCAGAATGACACGCATCGACTGAACGGTGTTGCTGTAGATGATTTCCTTGAACGACTCTCGCTCATCCCGGGAGTAGCTGCCCTCGTGGATCAACTTCATCTGCTTGAGAATGGTCGACTTTCCGGACTCTCCGGCACCTAATCACGAGAACTGTTAACTCTCCGTCCAATGGAATTCCCCGAAGCGGCAGTGGTCGAGAGGCGCGTACCGAGCAACAACATCTTGATCTCGTTTCTTTGCATCATCTTGTCCCGCTTGAGCTGATTCTCAATCTCCTCGTTGCGGGCCTTCCCCTCCTTGTCTTCAGTACTCATTCCACAACCCATTTTGGCGGCAATC